TTAATTAAATAGCGATATATTCCCGTCGCCACTTACGTGGATAACCCTTTGTGGAAAAAGAACCTCAAAACCAATTAATTTATCTAATTTAATCCAAAACGTGGGTTTAAATATTTTGACGTGTACAGAAACTTCAATTTTCTACGGTGGGTTTTTGTTTAAGCTTTATTCTAAAATTATTGTTACATTACTTTCCCTTAACTCTCAGAGTTCAAAGTTTAGTTATACCATCAATTCTGTTTTATTGATACTTGTTTTAACATATCGAACATCAAAGTATTTATTTCAACTACAAACAATGATAATAAAAACTAAACCAACACATCGTCTGCTCATAAAATCTTTCATGTTTGTTAATATAAAGCAAGCAATGAAAATAAACTATCGAATGTTTCTTCTACTTTTATTATCTTGAATTAATTGAGTTATGCTACTGCTGAATTATTCAATACTCGGTACTGAGAAAAAAATGTGCCGCCTAGATTAGGGGCCTTCGCATTAATTTCATTAAAACTTCGTGTCACAAAATTTCAGTAACATGTTATGAACACATTAAATCCAGAAAATGTACACTAACATAGTTAAAAATATTTTTTATACAACTTTAGTATTGCATGTTTGTTGCTGTCCAAGATAAAAGTTGATTTATAGACCAGTAATTAACGAACATCGCATTTAGTTTAAAATCTTCATAATACAGCACGTGTTGGTAAAAATTACTACAATCATCTCTCAACACATTTTCAATGTTTTCTGCGTTTTCTTGTTCTATTCATTTTTTTGTATATTTTTGACGTTCTATCGTAGGTGCAAATTCCTCCAGGAAACTCATGTAATGTAACTGCTTCGTTGTAACACCTTCAGTCAGGTTTAGTCAATAATTTCGGATATTACGCAAAAGCATTAGAAACGATATACCTATTTATAGTATTCCTGAAGCCCTGACGCTCCCTACGCACCAAAATAACCCAACCGTCCTAGTTAAAAACCACCGGAGAAACGAAATGACTCGTATGAATTTTATGACGGTGCCGTGTTGCGTATCATTTTGAAGCGTTTCGAGTTTTGAGACAGAACAGCTTCCAGAATGAACACTAATAGGTCGTTAATATTTCCCGGAGTGTTGTGGTGCTTGAGTTTAATTTAATTTTAGAACTTCCGGGGAGTCCCTCGTCAATTCGAGCATAAAATACAGACCTGGGGAATTTGTGTAAAAACTCAAAATTTATCACATGACTGAATATTGTTATGGTCAATGAAATTTCACCCGTCATAAATTTTAACGTAGTAGGTAACGTTACAGAAACGTCGAGTGACGAGCTACGGATCGAGCCCGATAAAATTGCCTCGTAATTTTTAATTTTTTCGCCGTGCGACGTTGCGATTTGATTCCGGACGCGCTGATGCATACAGCGCTCACGAAAATATTGTGTGCATTAGCAGCTTTTTTTGTGCCAAGGCTGCAAAATTTTATATGTGTTGCGGTTGTTATGAAAGCAATCAAAAGTGCGCCCAACGTCATGTTCAGGTTTATACTAACAAAGGCATCAAAAATCCAGTCCACAGATCCATCCAGAAAGCACACATGGATTAATTATTCTAATCTTTGACGAAAGGGTATATTAAATCTGAATCAAGTTGAACAGTAGAAAGTTTAAAATTGATAGTAGCGAAAGCAGTAAACAGTATATAACAGTTTGATCCATCAGGGAATTATTACAGGCAGAAAAAAGTTAGAAGAAAAAGCCGACAAATTAAGCGTGGTGTAGTAAATGCCAGTTAGTTCCCAATGGAGGAAATTTTATTTATTTAGCACTGTTACGGAACGATTGCAAAATGGTTTTCAGAAAAGCCTTACTTTAGTTCCTTCGATTATATAAACATTCTATTTTAATTTTTTTTGATGAAAGAAATATTTAAATTCAAACTAAACAAATGGTAAGAGTTCAGTTACTCGTTGTGAGAGTGACGTCAGCAATTTTTTGAAGTGTATTTCGCGCGCAAAAACTTCCTTCGCGGCAGATTAGTTTGGAAATGCAGTTTTTAGGGTTTTATGGATTTAGTTCGCCACTTTGTCAGCGGCCCATATTAAAAAAGTGTAGCGTGGTGGGATATTTAAGTTTCGTCGACTGAAAAAGCACCATTAAAACTTTCAGCGACAAAACGTGCCTGAAGTCATTGCGACTGTAGAATGTCATAAAGTCCGCTCTACGCAAGACATTAATTCTCAATTTAGCGGCGTCTGTTTGCGTAGTTTCGGTCTTACTTCCATCTAATTTAACTTCTAGATAACGTTGTCTCCGGGCGTCTCCCCCTCGGTTCGGCCCTGGGCATTTTATTCCGTGTTTTGTCCCGGAATTACTTATCTGTATTCAATGCCGCCGTTCTGATACACATTGCAAAGGTTATCCCCCAGATTCCCGAACGCAAAACACGGGAAGACTCACAATTTTATGCCTGAAATATTCGCTTTCTCCTCCAGGAATAACTTTATACGGCCAAACGTCGGCCACGTCTCACTCTTGCTTCATCCTTTTTATACTAAAAAAGGGAGATTCCCGGCATTTAGATCACGATTCGTGCCCACACATATCCTCGCCACATAAATAAATACGCGACTTAAAATTTGACGCAACCGCCCGAGTCACGACAATTGAACAAATGACTGGCGACCATCTATCAGTGTCACTTAACCGTGCGAATCTGGTGTTAGTAACTTTTGTGACGTTGATGTCCGTTAGTGTCAACATGAACTGTCACCGCTGTCAATCAAACTACAGGTGGGTTATTTTTAATTATTTAAATAGACGCAAACAATGCACGTTGTACGTCAGGTGTGATTTGAAATAAAAACACACCGATAAATTATTTTTAACCGTAGATTCCAGTTCGGGATATGTCGCTTCTGGAGATAGTCAATGTCCAGTGATAAAAAAAAAGTGAATTTGGACTGGCTACGTCAGTTGGAGTTTTGCTTTGTGTGACTCCACGATATCAGTGTGGTTTGAGATAAAATTAATTAATGAGAATGTCATTTGTGCATGTCTCAAACAAAATTTTTAGTTCATAGTCAACTAGGTATCGTTCTTTTTTCGATTGTGCTACACTTTTCAGTGTGTGTAATCCGACTCTTGGACACTACGATTTTGTCGATTCGAACCGGGGAAAGTTTCTGGAACGTATCATAATTACAACGAACGGGCCGATGTGAACATCGATCGTTATCCGTGTTCGGACATATTTATGCAAAAATATACAACGGAAGTGGGGTGGGGAAAATGCCCGTTTTATATTCAGCGTAAACAAGTTTTCCGTGGACTTTTTGGCCGGAGTGTGGGGAGCTTTTGTAAAACGGATCGATTGTGGCTACTTCCAGCTTGAATATCTATCACGGGGTTAAATAACTGTCAGCCGAATGGTCTACACGTCATTTCAACTACCAATACACACCCACGAGAGCTTACCGGCCGAATTCTAAAGAATCTCCCTGGAATTTAGACATAAAGGGGAGGAAATGTCGGACGGAATAAAGTCACTTACATTACTAAATCCGCCCCAGGACTGAATGGGGGCTTTTAATTATGTCGTTTCCTTAAAAAAATTCACGATTTATTCGACACAAGTGTTTTTATGTATATGTGGCTTAATTTAAATGCAATTACTTTTAATCGACATCAAAGTACTCCCACACAATGTACAATCGATTTAATAACACATCCATTCTGAATAGGAGCATAATTACAGCGCGGCAATCATTGAATCCGTAAGTACGAGTCCTTCACATTTCGAATCGAAAATCTGATAAGATTATTCTTTGAAGCGAATTATTGGGGTCTGCATAAGCCCGAATTTCGAGAGATTAAAGAATTTAAAAGTCATTACAGTTTTATTGTGCAGTTATCAGTCAGAAATTAGTTTCGAAAATTTAATGCTAATCCACTTAATTTCCTTCGGATTTCGACAGCGATTATACCGTTTTTCATTTCGACAGCAAAAACCGCAACCCGGAAAAAATAGCACCTCACGAAAATTTTAAATCTGAAAGAAAGGATGATTTGATGCGATTTACGTCTTTTCATGTATCACTGAGGTCTTCAAACATAATTATTTCTAATAAGGTAACTATTTATTATAAGATTTCTCATATGAGAAATACATACGAACTATTGCAAACTCGACTCGGCAGACTTGCAACTATCTAATTGCGCCGTAAGACTTGAGGCGAGTAAAAAGTCCAAGAAGTAGAAAAGTTTATCCTTTATGTACGTATCCCATCTAGTGCTGTTAAAATATGAATTCGTTTATTACGTCAAATTATATCAAAAATGAAATTAATAGCCGCAAGCAACCGTGCATAATGTTTGCAGTAATGTCAAAAAAATTTACAAACTTTTGTTCGTATCATTCGTTCTGATAAAATTTTATCTTTTAGTACTACATGCACATAAAAACTGCATGTTATGCACTTATACACAGCTGAATGATTTTGAAGGGGATGTAACGTCCTTCCTTATATTACTACATTAATTTTAATTCAAATGGATATACAAAAATCGAAAGAAAAATGTCTATACTGTAATTATGGAAAATTTACCATACCGATTGACAGTTTCTTGTATGTCTAAGTATAGTTTTTGTTTCAGGCAATTTGGGTCAGCTTTTTTCGCATTCGAATGCCGCTTTCTCGCTAATTTATTGCCCATGTGCTATTAAAATTTAACGCTTCATTTATTGGACGCAACAGTCCTTCCAAAACACGTCAGACGTTCAACTAGGAATAAACTTGCAATAAAACGGTGCAATAACAATAACGTAAAGTTGTTCGTTCAAAGAAATGCTGAAATTGTACAGTTGTGGCCATTTAGTGATGATGGCCGCCATTTATTTTATTATACTGTAATTTTATATGACATATAATAACGAAAGGCGGATACTTCGGAGATTAAAATGGAACGAAAACATTTAATCTTTTAGGGAAAAAAAAACTATCAGAGACTAACCTCGTTGGTGTTCCACCTATGTCTTTGTGTCGGGAAATGGTCGGCCCGGGGAAGACTCTCCAAATTTTCAGGTAGTTTGATGGGCTCTCCATCTGAAACAAACCATCATTCAATATAGGACAATGTCATGGTGCGCTGGGTTAAATGAGCTTTGGCTTAGTTGCTATTCCCCGTTTCCGAGCTTAATGTGCTAATGTTCATTAGGGAATTGAGAGTTACGATAATTATGTTAATGAGACATGCGAATAAATAATAACAGAGTCGTAAAGTTGCGTTTAACCCTACAAAGCAACCCTTTCTTACAGTATTTATGTCGATTTATATTACGCTCGGTTCGTGTATAACTTGGGTTCCGCTGGTGTAAACAGTTTTTATTACAACTGGTTCCACTAAAAATACTACAGATAAAATTACATTTTGGGAAACATAAAGAAGCTGACGTGGATTGTTACATTTATCGGTCGACGTAACCTATTCTGGAAAAAAGACACCCAATAAAATCATTATCACTCCGTAATGATTACCACCAAAAGCCATTAAGCCAGAGCAAAGGATAATGCGGTTTAGAGTGAATGACTTGACACGAGAAGCGGTATCAGGATCTGTTTACTTTCAGGATAACATACAGAGAACCGAGTTCAAGCCCGCTAATATTTGATCTGAAATTATACCCTTTCAGTGAGAGAGGATCTGCGCTGTACTGGATATCAGTGGCAAGCTGAAAGGTGATCGGTTGCTTTTATTGGTCTTTGTTGTGCGAGAAGAGAGGCTTTTTCAAGCGAGAGTGCTTCACCAGATTATGTCAGCGATTCGGAGAAACGTTAATGCATGAAACGACAATTACAAATCCTGACTCAAAGCGCTTCTAAATGCCATCGGTACCCAATAAAACTACACACATTTTTTTCAACGACGACTAAAGGATTTTAAATGAAGGATCCTTTCAAAGACCCGAGATTCAAGGAAGGATTGTCTGATTTCCTTCGCCTGAAAAGAGCCCGCAAACAAGTTAATTAGTTGTCGTGTGCCTTAACTTTTTGCCTGAAAGAGATATTACACAAGACGGAGAGGACCTCCGTAGCGTGGAAGTTTTTTCAATTAATTTGATTGTTGAACTTGGAGTGGAACTAGTTTGACTCACAATATAAATTTCGTAAAGTCGGTCATCCCCAGGTGAGTGTGTATAGTGAGGAATGAGCGAAGCGAAGCCACCTAGTTTAGCTACTAGAATCTACTAAAAATTACTAATTCAGTAAAGTTCGCAATAAATAAAAGTTAAAAAGAATCTTTTGAAAGTGTTAATCTCTATCGACAGAGATCGGATAAACAGAAAGGGTAGAGCGTGAGTAAAATGAGCAGCGGCCATGTTGTGACGGCTGATTGCTGAGGGAGTAGAAGCCCACAGTGGGTCAACTGGATTAGCGGTAATGAGAGGCATTCAATTACCATAGCAAGTGCTCCACACTCTTCCCTCTCCAAGCCGAACTGAAAATGCTTGAGGTATTTTCAGACGTGATGACAATCGACTCTGACGATTCTCAAAGAAGATATTACTTTGCGTCTAATTACGTTTTTGCATGTAATTTTAGCAGACCCGTGATGTAAAGACGACGATGTGTTTTTATTATATTTTTTTTTTCTTTGGCAATTCTAGAAGACAAAGGAGGCCCCAGAGCCAATTACTGGATCTCTTTTAATCTAAATTAATTGACTTTTAAAATAAGCAGCTCGGTGAGCGTCTCGTGTTACAAAAAGTGGATGCAATTATTCCGATGAGTGGTAACGAGCATTCAGCAAATAAGGTCGTTTTTATGGCAAAAAATCGCTGAATGAAGGTCCGTATCGTTGATTGTTTTACTTTTTATTACTGATAAGTTGTGATTTATATAGCGAAATATAGTAAAATATGAATGACAGCTAAACATGGGTGTAAGATGAAACGGCCACATTTGAAATTTGTAAAAACTAAAAAATGAGAACCATCTCAGTATATTAAAATCCAGAGGTAAATGTGACTAAAGGCGGCCACACACACAGACGGAAGACTGCGCAGTTAAAAGTGTGCACGCTTGTCTTAAGTTAAACCCGTACTCTCTAATTGCACACACACATTCATGCTTCCCCGTCAGTTGTGTAGCAAATGTGCATCGCTATGCTAACGAACAAAAATGTTTATTTTATTACAGTGACGTGGATTTGTATTATATAAAAAAAACAATTGTAAAATAGGTCAGACGTCATTTAAAATACGGCGCTAATGAATTAAAACTCAAGCGTGCAGCGACTTGTCTCCACACACACTGAGTTTTCCCCGCGCAGTTATAACTGTGCACGTTAACAACAGACTTGACTGCACATTAGGCTGACCCAAAAATTAAAAATTAAAAAATTATCTGTCCTACCTTCGGAACAGTTGCTAAATGAGTTAAAAAAACTCTATGTAAAAGCACATTCATATAAAATAAGTTTTAAAGGTTGCTCAAAGAGAATAACTAAAGTACGAATACCAACAATATATATTACTCTATTTCACATATTACACAGTTTAACAAATTATAAAACGGTATAATAAGTAAAACTAAAGCAACCAGTTAATGGAATTATTCATCAATGTGTTTTTGTTGCAATTCGGATAGAATTTTCGATGAGCTTGTACCACTTGTAGTACGTTTTGTTTCTCAATTTCGTTTTTCAATAATGAAGTATTATATTCTTGTACAAGCGCCACACCTCGCTCAGCACAGTCATTTACTACTTTTAGTTTACTGATACATTCAACATTTTGTTGATATTCATTATCACTTTCCCAATATAAAGGATGTATGTATATTTAAAAAATTAGAACTTAACCCTAGCTTATCGAAGAAGCATTTTGTTTTTTCAGTGACAAAATAAAGCGAAATTTTATTTGCCAGCATTTCAGATTGGGCAACTGTCGCTTTTTTCCTTGAGTTCTTTTGTGGTTTTGTGAGAGCTTTAAAAATTAGCGTTTTGTGTAGCACAGAAATTTCGCTATCAAAAAATGCGAGTCCCACGAGTTCTTTCCCTAAATACATTTAAGATAAAAAAATACTGATAAATTTTTGTCATGTTTTTTATACAAGTTTTTTAACACATGTTGTATGCTTATATGTACATTAACTCAGTGGTTTTAAAATTTCAAACAGTTTGAGCGACCCTTTAGAGTTCAACAAATGTGTTACATTTTTTTCTGCAATTACGTATTAATCGAATGCACCCATTGAAGGGGTAGGAGCAATGTATTTTAAAAGTTTCGTTTTATGTCACGTCTGATAGGTCACCCTACTGCACATGCCACATTCTTCCCCACACACTAGGAGTTTTAACTGTATCCCGTGGCACGTACATTCAAGTCTTGACTCTTCCCTCTGTGTGTGTGGCTGCCTTAATCCAAAGAAATTTAGTGCTAAATTTAAAGAAAATTTGATTTCATATTACACCAAGATGAATAAAGCAAAACAAAGAACATTTAACCAAAAAGCACGAGATAATAAAAATACTAGACAAAACAAGTATAAATAAGTATAACAACGAAAATAATATAAAAATAGACAGATTTAGAAAGTCAACTAGAAATCCAAATTATATAATTCTTAATTTAAACAAATTGATACATAATTATGCTACTTCGATTTGGCAAGATTATAGCAAACAACCAGATTAATCGTACTTATTATATCTCACACTTTAGAAAGGTATGAACTCCCCATATTATGACTTACATTTTGGATAACAAAAAATCGCCAGCACTCACTTATTAAATACAGATTACACAGAAATTATTGCTATGTTTTTAACGCAAGCCAGACTATAATTAAAAGCAACAGACAACGACACAAATTATTAAAATATATAATAATAAAAAAATATGTGGATATTTTTGTTCTCTAGGGGTCATGAAACGTCGAGAAAACAGGAAAGCAGCCATTCATTGGATGGACTATATTACAATACATCCTCAACTTCGGTGGTAAAAAGCGAACAAGGTTATTTATACAGGGTTAGTCACGAGAGAATTACTTCTGAAAATTATTTTTACGCAACCCAAAATACTAATACCCTGTACCACTTGATATTATCTAAATTTAAAATAAAATGCCTAATCCATGATTGCTTTGACTTTGGCAGTGTCACTTTGACGTTAATTAATTTTTAACATTTTTTTTCATCATTGACTCGTCTCTAGAGCCCCATTGGATCGACGACATACAGTCAGATCAATCTGGGCTATAGTGAAGCCGTAAGTGCTCTACCAATGTTGTTCACCGCTAATGTGCATGTGTTAATTCGCCATCTCTGCGTCACCTAGAGCCTCTTCGAAGTGCAAATCTGCAACCTCTGGACTTCTTTGGCCATCCATTTACAAAAAAGCCGTAGCATCCCCCCAAAATGCCCAACATTTTCAACAGATTAGTAGTTAAATTATTTACTTACTTGTTTGAGTTTGTGTTGTAACCTTTGAATAAAATGCCGTAAAAGCAATTTTTAGAAATAAATTTCTCGTGATTAATCGGTTGCAAAAGTTCAAGAGGCACACTGACAAATTTATTAGCGGCGCCGGAGGAGATTTCCGACTGGCTGCGGTACCAGCATGGACACTCACGTAACCTCTTTTTCCACAATTGTCAAAATGAGACTGCCAAACTCAAAGCAATCATGGATTAAGCATTTTATTTTAAATTCAGTTAGTATCAAATGGTACATGGTATTCGTATTTTGGGTTGCTTAAAAATAATTTTCAGAAGTAATTCTCTCGTGACTAACCCTGTATATGGTAACTAAATTTATAAATTTTTAGTTTTTACAGTTACTTAGAGATAAGCTCAAGAATCGTATGAAATACAGGTGCTCTGTTTGAAAAATATGAGAATCCACAAATTTAATTGCATAAATGAGTTAAAACACTGCAAAATTTTTTGACGCTTAACAAGACACGGACATTAAAAAGCATGTAAAATAAGACTTTTTATAAGAACATGCTAATATGTTGAAAACAGTTGACCAAAATACCTTGTATGAACGCCGCTATATATACGTGAATTGAAGGAAATCTAACCTTTTTTGTTTCGTG